GGTAAACAGAATGATGATGGAATGCAACAAAGACTTTGATAGTTGTCGTGCTCTCCATGTAGCCAGAATATATTAGTATGAGCTATACAACTGGTAGTCACAATACAGTTTTAATAAGGAAGACAACCAAAGTTTGGTTCTTCCAATATGTTTAAAACTATCACCTCTTCCTTTACCATTGCATTCAATGACATTTCTCTGTGAAAATCATTGTCATTGTAGAATATGAATGTAAACTGTGGAGAATTGCTAAACACATTTAAATTCTATAAATGTTTTGTGAAAATTTATTTAAGAACTTAGAAGAAAATTCTTATTGGGATGAAGATGTAATAAGACAGAAATACAAATATATATTTCACTCATTTCATTTCTAGCCTTCATGATTTTATATATGTGTGTGTGTGTGTGTGTGTGTGTGTGTGTGATTAAAACATCAGCAAAAACCAACCAAACCAAATAACAAATGGAGCAAATCATAATATTAGATTTTGTCTTTCTGCAAGTTTCCTTGCATCTGACAAAACATTGAAGCTCTACAGAGTTGCCAGAAACAAACAGCAGAGGGCAGGACATAGCACACGGACTCTTAGAGCACACCACTCTGACAGGGTGTTCATAATATGCAAAATCAATTTATGATAGCTATGCTAGAAATATGAAGGTTAGAGGTGTTGAAGTGATATTTGGGTATATGAAAGCTAATAACTGTATTTTCCACTTATTTACATAGCCATTTATATCATTCAGTTTAATTTTAGTTTTAAGCTGACAGTATTCTGAGTAGAAAAAATATACAGTACTTAATATAGTGGATTGAAAAGTTTCATGAAGAATAACATTAATATAATCATTCTGCATTTCAGTGGGCATTTTCTCTAGATATGTGAAAGGTGTATTCATGGCTATGCTGTAAATACAGAGTAATAGAACAACAGTCGAATTATAGAGAACGCCTGCTGACATTTTATATCCCTTATAGGCAAAGTATAATTGAACACTAGAAAGCAATGTTTGCTTAAATTTTGTATATTCACTGAGGAAAATGTTCTCTGATTCAGCAAACTCTTTTTTCCTCAGAATGCAATTGAATCAATTTTGAGTTCATATCTGCCCTTGTCTTTGAAATATGTTCACATGAAAGCAGTTTTTAAAACATTCTTTTCATTGTCTTTTTTTATTGATTCTTTTTTTGTGAATTTCAGCAGACCATCCCAAACAATCTTATTCAGCTTTATACTAGCATCCCAAATGGCACCCTCCCATAGCCTCCCCACCACCACTGGAGCCCATATACTCTGTCATCCCTGTTAGTGCCCTCCACTGTGCTATCAGTGCCCCCAGCTGTTACCAAGTGCTAGTCCATCCACTGAATCTAGTCAGCCTATCTAGAGTTCCTTGTTTTAGGAAGATCAGCTCTTCCTCATCTAGCTGCCAACATTCCTTTAGATAAGATTGAGATCTGCTGTTCATTTTCCCAATTCTATGCTGGGTTACAGTCTGGGAGTCTCCTGGGCCACCCTGGCCAATAACTCAAAGGAAGGTATCTCCTGTCTGGTATTGTTTCTTATTATGTAGCCTTTAGCTCTACACATGGACTCTTAAAGAATTATACTGATCACCTTAATCTTTGGTTATACTTTCCTTTTGAGTGTTCAAGTTGGCCCAAATAAGCCAATTTATTTTTACTCTTAATGTCATTTGAGGCTCTGTTCCTCAGGGATCACATGGGCTTGGGATGAGCCCTTGGCTCCTTTCTTTTATTAGTTACATCTATGTGAAGATAAGTCAAAGGTCCTGCTTGACTGTGGTTGGCTTCACTGAGAAGCATGGAGGAAATGTTTCCTCTGTGTTGACCACCCTCTTTGTAGACTGGACACTGGTTCAAGTCTGTCTGGTGGGGTCTCCATGGCCTCCTTGATCAAGAGGACAGGTGACCCACCACAGTTACAGGACATTTTGAGAGATGCTCCACAGTCCTCTGGAACTTATTCGACCTAGGCAGGCAAGGAGCAAAAACTGTCCTTTAAGTCCCTCTGACTAGATTAGTATAAGCCTCAAAGTATGTCTGTTAAACATCCAAGAAAGTTAGTTCTACCAGTTTTGCACTTTTAAATATCATGAGCTACATAGATAAAGTTTGGGAAAAAACCAAAGTTCTCCCATAAACCATGACTAGTCACATAGTATGTTCCTTGAGCTAGTTATTTGTATAATTTGTCAGTAGGTTGTTGGACTAATATGGTTCCCTCTGGGTTGTTTTAAAAATATCTAGCCATTATTTATCTTTTTCATTGTCTAACCCTTCCACCACCATGGTTTTCCCATTTTTCACATTTCTCCCTTAATAATGCCTTTCTCCTATGGTATTGTCTTTCATGAAATACATACATATGCACCCATGTTGTGCAGTGCTTGTAGAGGTCAGAAGAGAGCGTCAGATCCCCTGGAACTGAAGTTAAGGATGGTTGTTAGCCACCATGTAGGCTGAGAATTGAACCCAGATCCTTTGCAAGAGCAGACAATACTCTTAACAGCTGAGTCATCTCTCCAGCCCCAGAAACATCCTTATCTTTTGAATTTCAGTTTGTATTGACCCATACTTTTATAATGTTTCTTTTCATAAACTTTCTATTGAATTTTTGTGATTTTATAAAATATAATTTGATGGTATTTAGAACCTTTCCTTTATCTGTGCCTCCCACCACTGCCCCCATCCAATTTAATGTAATCTATCATCTACCTACCTACCTACCTACCTACCTATCTATCTATCTATCTATCTATCTATCTATCATCTATATGATAAGGATTATAGAGTCTAATTTTTGTCCTCAAATGTCCTTCCACTTGAGTCCACCCACCGGAGCCTGGTTAACTTAAAGATTCTCATCATTGAAAGAGACTGTCTCCCCACTCCCAGCATGCATCACTAGCCAAAAGTTCCTTAGGTTGGGTTGGAGAGTCTTGTCTATGCTGAGATTTTGTCTGGTTTGAGCTTGCCTGGGACTTGTGTATGCTGTCATCATTGCTCTGAGTTCATATGAGTAACTGAGTAGCTGTCTGAAAAATTCTGGTTCCTTGTGGCCATCCACCACCACTGGTTCTTCCAATCTTCTCTCCATTTTCCTCAATGATCCCTGAGCTTTGTGAGGCAAAAATTTGATCTAGGTATCTTGTTTAAGAATAAGCATTCCTCTAGTTCTCTGCACATTGGCCAGTTGTGGGTTTCTGTGTTAATCTCCATCTTTTGCATAAGGGAATTTTTCTGGTGAGAGCTGAGAGGTGCCTTAGTCAATGAGTATAACAATAAGTCATGCGGAGTCAATTTAATACAATAAGATTTTAGTAGAAACCTGAAGACAGCCCCAGGGCCTTCTTTCTCCTTCTTTGTTCTATGGTGCATGTATGTAGTGTCTTCAGCAATAGGGTCTTACTGTGAAGTTCTGGTGGGTTATGAAGAGCAGGGGCGATGGTATTGTTTGAGGGTCTATGGGATCCCTGGTCAACAGCTTCTAGACCCACACTTCTAGACCCACAACAGCTTTTGACCCATACTCGAAGTATTACCCTTTTCCCCAGTTATCAAACTCCCATTCATTTATTCCCCACTCCAATCCCGAATCACTTTGAATGAGACTGAAAATTTTGTGGAAAATTTGAATGGAGAGAAAACAAAGAAAATGATTGAACAGATATTTTATTTTCCTATATATTTTGATGCACTGTTTTAGATTTTAAGTCAGAGACTTCAAATTTTTCATGTGCTTTACATCACAAGCCATGATGAAATGTAATTTGTTTGATTATTCTTCATGTTCTTCATGTTTCAGTTTTGGATATTTATATTTCTTGTTTCTCATAAAGTCTTATTACTATTGATTTCCTATTCAGAGGAATACGTAGCTGAAATAAATTCTTCTTGATAAAACTAGAAGGTGCTTTCATACATGATATGTGAACTTAGTAATACATTATAGTTATTCTGATTTCATGGCTTAGAAAACACACACACTCAAAAAGATAAAAATGTCATAATTAAACATCAAATGCTTATAGGATTTAGAAGCCACAAAGTTTGCTTTGCTTTTTGTTCATCATTCTTATTTTCAAAGTGGAGAATTTGAGACCCAGTGTGACAAAAGGGAAAGTATGAGTTAACCTGGTCAACAGCAAGACATTTATTTACTCCAGGTGGTGAGTTTTCTGGAACTTGATGCCAAAATGAGATGGGATACCCGGTTTGTAACTAAATGTCTGGAAAGTTTCTGCAGTCATGCTTCCTTTCTAGACTAGCTTGGATATTTCCTTTCAGTCCATACGAAGGAGGGGCATCTAAGAGCCAAGTCTACATGATCCTATCCCAGGAAAGAATCTGCAATGTGGCTTGGAGGACACAACATCTCAAAGATAGATTTCCAGGCAAAGCCCTTCAGTGATTCAATGCTGGTACACCTCTGGGTGCTTTTTTCCCTTAAGGATAGAATTTTGGGTTTTCCCTGGATCGTACCTACATCATAGGAAGTCAAAGTTCATCTTTGTATTTTGATTTTGCTTCTCAATTGGTCAGGAGAGGTGGACAGCGGCGGTTTGATAGTACCACATGTGTTTTCATTGGAAATTGAAGACAAAAATAATTATTATTTTGTTTAATGTGAAACATCAGGGCCTGATGGGAGAGCTCTCCACTGCCAACAACAATTAGCAGTTCGGCTTCCCAGGCACAGAAGCCGGAAATAAGCTTTGCAGCATTCCTTGCAGGCTAAGAGCATCTCCGGAGCTGCTGAAGCCCTGCCTACTCCAGGCAGGAGGAACGCTGTCCTCGGTGCTGAAACCCAGATAAGCAGAACCCGTGGTCCTTAGGAGGAACCGCGGCTGCCGGGCTCTGAGCCACTCTCCCTTGGCACCACGCACGCGACGTTGACAGGACTGTGCGGGGTGCGGGGCACTGTGCGGGGGAGGGGTGGGCGCGCGAGCCCGCCGCCTGCCGAGAACCGCGCACGCGCGCCCGGGACTGCCTGCTCTTCTCTGTGACTTGCCTGTGTGTGTGTATGTGTGTATGTGTGTGTATGTGTGTGTGCGCGCGCGCGAGCTTGTGAGAGAGGAGAGAGGGAGAAGCGAGCGCGCAAGAGGGTGAGTGTGTGTGTGAGTGCATGGGAGGGTGCTGAATATTCCCAAGCGCCAGGACCAAAGCGGCAGCTCCACTGAAAACTGCATTCAGCCAGTGCTTCGGACTTCGCGAGCGAGGACAGGGCACAGGGCATCAACAGCCACTAGCAGGACCTGGGAAATAGCAATTCTACCTCCACTTCCCGTGTTTTTAGCAGCTCGGTGCTAAATTGCGGTCTCAAAATGCAGAGGATCTAATTTGCTGAGGAAAACGGCCAAAGAAGGAAGAGGAGGAAAAGGAAAAAAGAGGGGGTATTTTGTGGATGCTCTACTTTTCTTGGAAATGCAAAAGATTATGCATATTTCTGTTCTCCTTCCTCCTGTTTTTTGGGGACTGATTTTTGGTGTCTCTTCTAACAGCATACAGATAGGTAGGTACCCTTTGTGTTATGCTTTTGAATTCTGCAAAATTTGGTGGTAATCTTTGTTCACAGTGGGCAAATTAATTCATGTCATGTACACTTATGTCATACCTTGACTGCATTCCAGATTTAAACTACCTAGAATATGCATGATTTTTTAGGATGAAGCAAGAAATCCCTTTTGATACCGTAAAGGAAAAGAGCTTCTCATTTCTGACCCCCAGATTGTATGAATTCTGCCATAGCAGCATCTCCGAGTGTGCTCAGATTTTCTAGGGGTCTGAATGCAAAGCTTGTGATTAAGAGGAAGGGGAATGCTTCTGGCCAGCTACCTTTCCCTAAGACTCCCCCCTGTCAGGACCTCTTGGCGGTCTTTTGGATGTTCGACACCCCCCCCTCCCAAGTCAGTGGTTATGAATATTCGTGCCTTTGGCATGAATTGGAGACTCAGGCTGCTGGGTGCTATGGGCTCCCCTCTCTCTCCAGGGCACTGACATGGTTCTTTTGCTTGGTGTTTATTCTTGGCAGGGGGTCTATTTCCGAGGGGCGCCGATCAAGAATACAGTGCATTTCGGGTAGGGATGGTTCAATTTTCCACATCGGAGTTCAGACTGACACCCCACATCGACAATTTGGAGGTAGCTAACAGCTTCGCAGTCACCAATGCTTGTAAGTAATGAATATTCATGCCTTTCCCTTGCTGCACGGGGAGGGGAGGGGGAGAGGAAGCCAGTGAATTCAAGTGTGGGATGGTGTGCCTTGCTGCGTGTTCTGTGTGGGTGGGAGTGACTGCACACGCGCGTGCGTGTGAAGGCATAGGGACAAGGTGGCTGTAATCTTGGGGACCTCCGGCTGGCCAGGGCACAGTGAAGGGGGGCTAAGGCATTGAAGAGGGTGTGCACTAGGAAGTTGGGGTTGGAGTTAGGGGTTCTTTCTTGGGTTCAGGGGGTTCTGACTGGATGCTTCCTCCGGAGATATTCTCCCTACCTCCGCCCCCTCGCGCGCCAATTGGTACCCTGCCAACAGAGAACACGTTGTTCCCCACGGCGCGCTGTGGGCTGCTGGACAGATCCCACTGGGGACTACCTGAGCCCTGTTGCCTGACCTGGCAACTACGACTTGCTCCTGCTGTCTGGGCTTGGAATTGCAGCCCTCTAGAGCCCCAGGTCCTTCTCTTCCACGGGACAAGTTGTTGTAATGGCTGTGGAGTTGGGTTCGGGGATGTTACATAATGCCCACCAGAGGGGCACGGGCTCCAGGCTGACGCAGGCCCAGACCTGCCTGTGCTAGGAGGTGGGAGAGGAGGACAAGGCAAAGGGATGGGGATGTAGGCGGAGGCCAGGATGCAGGATGCGAGCCCGGACCGGGACGCTGGCGGGATGGGGAGCCAGAGCGAGATCTGTTACTCCGCTCCAAACAGACCTGGCCCAAGTTGAGCCTGGCTTTGCAGCCAGGGCTCTCGCCGGCCGGCGCGCATTGTTGGTTGTTGGTTCCCGGCTCCAGCAAAGGCAGCATGAAGATGAGGATGACTCGGAAGCGATTGGATCCGGCTGAATTTAAAATTCTGAAGAACTCCCTGATCAGCCATTTTAGCCTTTGCAGTTCTCCATATTAGCTCCTTGTCTCTGCTTAGAGCTCCTGGACTCTCAAGGATGCTCTAGAAAGGCTTCCAGCACAGTTATGGGAACAGAGGGTTTAGGCAAGTAGCGGGAAGGCAGAGGCCGGGGACCATTCCTGTGGGAGACACCTTCCAGCGGGCTCCCAGTTGCCTCCATTTCCGGCCACCCTGCTGGCAGATGTTTCCTTCCCTAACGTTCTCAGCTTTCATTCGATAGATTACACTTTGGGAAAGACTTGCACGTGGCTCATCACTCACTTTGGCTCCCATGTAAAGGAGATAGCTGAAAATTACCAGAAGAAAAGCCCAAGGTAGCTTTCTCACATTAAAAAAAACTAGTTCCACCCACTTCCCTGTGTGAAGCCTCCATCATGTATCCTGTGCTTTAGTTCAGTACCAACAGGGACATCATCAGCCCAGTTTGCAACTCCTGCCCCCAGATGATGAAGAAATGAATAGGGTGATAATGTGAGTGTGGCCATTTGCATGGCCGGAATTCAAGTGTTAATAAGGACCAATTTAAGAAGATAGTTTTCTTCAAATGATGACATTAAGTGTGAACATTAAGTGTGAAAATAACTGGGGGGAGAGAGAAAGAGACAGAGAGGAAAGGAAAAGGAAGAGGAGGAGGAAGAGGAGGGAGGTGAGGCTCAAGAGAGAATATTTTCAGTTCCAAAAATGCCACAGAAGCCCCCACCCCGAGAGGGGTCACCGGGGGCCCCCAGGACCCTAAGGAGAGATAGACACCTTAAAGTTGCCCCCCAAACTTCCACATACATGTCACGTCACACTTGTACCTCACACACAATAAATGAATAAGTAAATGTAATAAAGATGTAATACAAAAATATACCAATAAATTCTATTACATAACAGATACAAAGAAATTGCTTAAAGTAAATGTCAAAGGGTCCAAACTTGACCTATTTACCTACCAGAATTAGTCTGTTCATTTACTATTGAGTTTCTGTTTCTTATGAATTACTTTGACATACATCACCTATGCTGAGCATTTACTCATCTGTATTTGTATAACAGTGTCTCAATAGGCATCAAAGTAATGAATCTGAAATATTGACAATGCAATTTGAAAATACTTAATAATTAAGAAGTTCATTATTCGCAAAACTGATGAGAAGAGCTTATTTGGAAAATTAGAGATCCAGCCACTAAACTGGATGAATATTTCTTGATTCCAACAGCTTACTGTTCTGGGGCTTCGTGAAGGTCAGAAATTGTACTTTATGCAGCTTATATCCTCCCCCTCAACGTTTCTGAATGAGTTTATTTCTCAATATTTTAATAAATTACAGAACTTAATATATTTGACCATACTTGGTCCAAATGTAGTACATTCAAATCATATAATCAAAAAATATATTCAAATCTTCATTTTGCACACTATTCCTCTTTTTTTAGTGAAGAAATTAAAGCAAAACAAAAGCGTCTCTAGATCATAAAACTGGCCAACCATTATTACCCCAGGATACTAAAATAACTTGGAGAAACCAAGCACAGTCTAAAGGTATTAGCATTTAAATCCAGAACCTTGACATTTGCAGCCTTTATGCTTTAAGTGAGCTTATTGATTGCTGCAGACAGGTGGGGCACAATTACAGCAAAGAGGCTCATTGGACAGAATTTTCTAGAGTCGACAGTGAGTCATTGAATATGCAAAATCATTTCAGTTTTATGATTCAGTTTATCTCTTTAGAATTTTCAAAATCTACAAAATGGGATTTTTACATATTTTTCTTTTTTGTTAAGGACAATAGAAAATATAAAATTAATTAAACTCTTCAGGGAAAGAAGGAGAAGGAGGAGATGGGTAAAAGAGAGAGGAGAGGAAAGGAGGGAGGGAGGGAGGAGAGAGAGAGAGAGAGAGAGAGAGAGAGAGAGAGAGAGAGAGAAAATCATCTAAAAGAAAGGAAAATGACTATGGTTGCCTTCACACACACACACACACACCTAGCAGCCAGAGAAACAGAGAGGAAGGGAGAGGGAGAGGGAGAGGGAGAGAGAGAGAAAGAGAGAGAGAGAGAGAGAGAGAGAATGAGAATCTGTGGTCAGATATATCCAGCTGAAAAATGGTCATTTAGATTTTACTCCAATACAGATATTTGTTTTTCCATTTTCTTTAGTAAGGTTCTTAAGTAGAGTGGAAGCAACAGCAGCAAGTACATTGGCAGATAAGAATAAAGCATCTTCCCAGTTTCCTGGGAAATCCAAGAGGTCTCCTCTTGCCATTACTATTATATGAATCGTCATTCACTGCTTCTTAGGCAGCTTGTTCTTCTTCTTTGTTAAGGCAAAGAAAATAAAATCCATGGCTTAAATTTGTATGTTAAGAAAGCAAAGTTTTATAATTAAATGGTGTAATTTCAACAGAGGAGAGGTGTATCTGTTTAGTAATTTAATTTTATTAGTGAGATGGGGGAACTTACTTAGGAACATTGAGATTGACAGTGAGTTAACGATCTAAGGAGGCTTGCAGAATGTTTTAAGGGTTAAATGAAAGGTAGTCATTTTATTCTGAACTGGAATGATGCTGAACTGGCTCCCATACCTTTTCAGTCACAAAGGGATAATGAAAGCACTTGTTTGTTCACATTTGTTTCCATGGATACCTGAGGAGATAAAGACAGCTTTCCAATGTCCTTTCTTCTCTTCCTTCTTCCGCTGCTTTTCTTCTGTTTCCAGCTCTTCTTCCCTTTTGTCCTTTCTTCATTTCCTTCTTCTTATCTAGAAATGTTACTTTACTAGGCACATTTTCAGATGAATGATTAAACAAGTATTCATTACCAGAAAATACAAAGGCTAAAGGCAGAAAGAACAGTGAGACTAGCATCTGAATGCAGCAGTTGAAACCAATGATAGGCCTCAGAAGTCATTCATTCATTCAAAACTATTTCCTGAGTATTTTCTAGTGGTCAGAGAACAAATGAATGCTTTCCTTACTCCACTTCATTCTTCCAATCAGTTACCACAGTTGTTCGTTAAATAATGTCTAAAGCCTTGGGGGACCCCTATTCTTTTAATATGGAATGACAGCTGAGGTCTTGTCTAAGAACTTCAGTATGAGTATGGAAAGCTAGTCTAGTGCTTCCTAAACACAGTAGTAGAAAAATCTTAATTTTGAGAAAACAATACATTTTATATTTCTATTTCTGTATAAAACACACAGCCAACTAACAAAATCAACAGGAGACTTTAGGAAACTCTTAAGCATTTTATACTCTAAATAATTTTAGTAAAACTTAATGTGGTACTAATAAAAAATTGAAAGTATAAGTGTCTAAATTAGTTATAAACATGAGCATTTGCTCTCCTGGAGTTTAGGAATTAAAATATTAAATATATTATTCTAAATCTATTTCTATTTATTCTGATGAACAGTTTTGATAAATAACCACTTGTTTAACTAACAATAATTTAAGAATTTTGTGTCTTAATTCTATAAAGCAACATGAATTGGAAAACTATTACATTTAAAGAAAGAGCAAATAAAAATTTACTTTTTCTCTGAGCCAGCAGATGGAGATGTTGGAGAAAAGATTGTACCCTATAAAATTGTTGCGCATACTGAATACCTTCTAAGACACTGTTGATAAATTTATTTAGAAAAATTGAAA